GTGTGAGGTGTCCAGGATGGAGGTCCTGACAGCTGGCACCGCCCTATGCAACCCCCCACCCCCATCAGCCAAGTCATCTATATGCCCGACCGGGGAAGGCTGGAGACGTTCGCCCTGAGGGATGTGCCCACCCTGCTGGGTGCCAAGCTGGCTGTCCTTCGGCTCTTTGCCCGATACATGCAGCGGCGGCTGCGAGAGGTGAGGGCTGGGTGCGGCTGGGGGGTGTGCCAGGCGGTGGGAGCCCTCGGCCCTGAGGCCCCGTGGCTGGGTCTGTCCACAGGAGGGGGGCCTGTCCACAGCCGCCTGGCCGGCAGCCCCCAGCCTCTGCCTGCTACGCTTCCTGGTGTCCGAGCGGGCCGCACTCCTGCTGTTCAGTAATGGGACGGTGCAGGTGAGTGAGGGTCCCCCCCGCAAACAGGGCTGTTACATTGCACGCTTCTGGGGGGAGCCCCAGGAAAATCGGAAATAAAATGTGTCTGAATGACAGCAAAATGTCCCTCAGGGTCATCGTCCTGTGTGGTTACCTGTAGCAGCTGTCGAAATGTCATTTTGTTGCAGAATCATTTTTAGGTTTTCCTGCGCAGTCCTGGCAATCCCTGGGACATCATAGCCACTCCTAAAACAGATTTCAAACGCACTAGTATACAATACTTATTATTTTTAAAAATTAGTATGATTTTATTTTATAGTAAAAATCCCCTCTCTGTTCAGACCAGAGTACCCTGGCCTGGGCCAGGTCTTAGAGGATTGTCTTCAAATGGCCCTGCCCAGCAGCTGTGGAAGCTGGTACCCATGAGGAGCTGCTGTTCCCCAGGGCACAGGCTTAAGAGTAGGAGGTCTCACTGGGCGGCTCTGGGCGGAGGAGTCTCATCTGAGCCTCAGTTTCCCTGTCTGTGTGGTAGAGCCCTGGGCTCCTGACCCTGAGTTCCTATGGGTGGGGCAGCCACTGAGACTCAGATCAGGGGGACCTCAGTCTCCTATCCACTTGTCCTCCGAGGGCCAGGGCCCCTTCTCCCCTCGAACCCAGCTCCTCCCACCTTGGTAGGTCAGCTGCTGCGGAGACCAGGCTCAACTCGTGCTGAGTGGTGGGTGTGAAGAGCTGCGGCTCACGGTCTGGGAGCAGGGCCAGCCTGGCACCTCCTACCCGCTGGGCGTCCTGCGGAGCCACGGCTGTGCTCTGGCTGCCCGCCAGCACCTTCAGCATGCGATCCACATGCTTCAGAGCATCTAGCTTCCCTGAGGGTCAAGGTGGACCTCTGCATGTTGATGCCCAGGACCCAAGCTCCATTTCTGTCCCTTTTGCTCCCCCAGAGGGGACGTCCTTGGGGACAGCTGGGGGAGCATGCAGGGGGTATAGGAGGTGGGAGTCCTTGCCTCGTGGCATGACTGTTTAACCCAGACTTGTGTTTGGAATTGTTCTTTTTTCATTAAAGTAAACTTGACTCTGCAGCCTGCCGTCAGCCTCTCTTTGGGGGAATTTGAGGAGCTTTGCCAAGGGGGCACCGTGATCTGAGCCCACTGCTCCTTGTGGCAGAGACAGGCCAGATTTTCACCAACACAGAAATTCTTACTAGAGTGGGGTTCTGCCACGACCAAAAGTCTAAAATATGGAACATTCGCTCAACTGCTGGGCAGTGAGGACACAAGTGTTGGAGGCTGGGAAGATGGCGACCCATGTCATGCCGGGACAAGACACTGGACCAGGGTCACCCTGATGTGCTGGACCTGTGAGCCAAGAGAGCCAATTGCCAAGGGGAACGAGAGCTTGCACTCAGGACTTCCCCTCCCCACGCCCCGGAAATGCTTTCCAGCTCCCTGACTGAGAATGTGGTCCCTCTGGGTTTTTGTGAGTTTCAGTTATTCCAACTCACAGTGGCTGAAACAAAGAAGAAGAGCTTATTGGTGCCTATAACTGAGAGGTTGGGACACATGACCTTCAGGCAGGGCTGCATCCAGGGCCTCTCACGGCAAGGTAGGGAATTCACCCTGGCCTGGTCATCTCTCTCCCCAAGGGCTGCAGTGTCTCTGGCCTCACACTTACAATATTCACAACCCTGTACCCAGCAGTAAGCAGTCTCTTCAGGTGTTTCTGGAAAGTCCTGGGACAGCACTTCCTCAGACCAGCATAGGTGACAGCCCTGCCCATGGTTGGGGGACCACCCGGTTAACCATTGCGTCTTCAGAAACCTCTCCAGGGGGCTGGCTTTGGCTGGTCTGGATTTGGGCTTCGGCCCTGGGCCTCACCCTCCCCTGGTGGGTCCTTCAGCCACCCAATCTCCACGATCCCCTACCAAGCTCCCGGGCACCTGGGCCCTTTGGGGCCCTTCTCTCCTCTTATTTCAGCAGCAAACTGACAAGCCCACTCCCTGCAGCTCCCCAGAGACCCCTCAATTCCTTACAGACACCAGGCCAACACCCCTTCTGCCCACCCCTGTCGGGACCCTCGCTCAGGCTCCAGGTCCCACCTCCCTCCCGAGGATGCACGCCCACCACTATAGACCCCTTGGCCGGGGTGGGGGTCAGCCACAGCTCTTCCTCTTGCTCTTGGGGCCAAACTGCAGGGGGGTGGTCTCCATGCCTCAAGTCCCTGCTGCCTCCGTAATCCTCTATGGCCTGACTTCGCTCCAGGTCAGCTGGGGCCACTGGCGCCACCACTACTCCGCCACCGAGGTGTGGGCCGGCCCCGGGTTAAGCATCGCCCTCCCACCCACCCATACTGGTTTCCTGAAGCTCTGTAACAAATTATCACAAAGTAATAGGTATTTGTTCTCCACGTTCTGGAGACCAGAAGTCGGAGACCAAGGTGTGGCAGGGTCACGATTCCTCTGAAGGCTGCAGGGCAGGCGGGGAGGGCGGGGGGTGGGGGGCGGATTCTTCCGACCTCTTCCAGCTTGTGATGGCCCCAGGCATCCCTGGGCTTGAGGCTGCATCACCCTAGCCTCTGCCTCCGTCTTCACACAGCTTCACCCTCTGTGTCTGTCTCTCCTCCTCCGTCTCTTATAAGGACATTAGATTTAGGGCCAACCTAATTCAGGATGATCTCATCTCAAGATTCTTAATTACATCTGCAAAGACCCTTTTTAAAAATTTTATTTATTTATTTTGGCTGCGTTGGGTCTTAGTTGCTGTGCGCGGGTTTTCTCTAGCTGCGGCGAGTGGGAGCTGCTCTTCGTTGCGGTGCGCGGGCTTCTCATTGCGGTGGCTTCTCTTGTTGCAGAGCACGGGCTCTAGGCACATGGGCTTCAGTAGCTGTGGCGCGCGGGCTTAATTGCTCCGTGGCACGTGGGATCTTCCCAGACCAGGGCTCGAACCCGTGTCCCCTACATTGGCAGGCGGATTCTTAACCACTGCGCCTCCAGGGAAGTCCCTGCAAATACCCTTTTGTAAGCTCCCATCCACAGGTTCCAGGGGTGTATCTTTTGGGGGCCACGAATCAATGCACTCCACCCCCTGAGCCTCATCAGAGCTGGTTGCTTGTACCTAGGTGTATCCCCATTTTTCTGTTGCTTTTGAGCCACACTGTGCGGCATGTGGGATCTTAGTTCCCCGACCAGGGATCAAACCGGTCCCTCTGCAGTGGAAGCATGGAGTCTCAACCACTGGCCCGCCAGGGAAGTCCCAGGTGTATGCCCATTTTACAGATGGGGAAATTCCAGCAGGGCTGGGCTGGAACCCTGCGTGTATGTGGCCCTTCCCGAGACCCACCTGTGGCCCTGCAGCCTGGGGCTACTACTCTCAGTTGGAGGATCTGGTGTGGCCGTCACTCGCTCGTGGGGTGCCCTGTCCATCTCTGGCTACTTCCTCTCCATCCCTGTTGCCCCATCAGACGCTCCTGTCATCCCAAGCCCCTGGCCTCCTCCTGGAAGCCCTCCAGGCTACTCTGCTATGCCTTCCTAGCTTTCCTAGCGGGCTGTGTCCCCCAGACCCCTCATTGCCCATTCCTCAAGCCAGCAGCCTGTGGTCACCTAGCCCCTGGGTTTGTCCCTGGAGCGGTCCTGGGCCCCTCCCTGTCACCACACCCCGTCCTCCACACACTGCAGCGCTTCCTTCCCCACCTTTGGAACTTTCGTGGCAACCGCCAGCTGACCACGGTGCAACCCATGGTCCCCCAGTCCTCGACTCCAGGCCAATCCCAGTCCCGAAGAGATGTGTCCAGCAGCCCCACGGGCCATGGTCCTCTGCTCCCAACTAGGTGACAGGGGGACACCACCTGTGGCTCATCGCTCAGATGTTCTTTGGGGACTGGTAGGTGTTAGGAGTCATCCTGGGACGAAGGTTTGCATACCTCAGTTTCCCTGTCTGTACAATGTCAGGTGGACCCCGTCCTACTGGAGATGGGGGTCCCACACACACCACGGAGGCGGGCCGATGCCCTAGGAAGTGACCCCCTGGCACCATCCCCTCCACATGGGTCATAGCCATTCCCATGGCTGGCTGTCCCCTGGGATGTCAGGTCCTGAGCCTCAGGAAAAGGGGACCTGGCTGGACCACCTTTCGGTGTAGCCCCGATGCCGACAGCACCTGGCTTGTGGAAAAGCCTGGAATTGGGGTATCCTGAACTCAAACTCTTGTATCTGGAAGACTAGGGGGGGGAGGAGCTGGATCTGAGCCCTCCCCCCCACCCCTCCCCCATGCCCACCAACCCCACACCAGGCCAAGGGCTCACATGTAGTAAAAAGACTTTATTAAGAAGGCTTTGAAGTCAAAAAATAAAACTCTTGATACAATTTTCTGAACCCTTAGGTCAGCTCAGCAAATATATAATCAGTAATTTAGCTGTGTAAGATTAAAGGTCCGTTACTTTATTTAAAATAAAATATATTTTAGTTTTCTTAAAATTTATTCCATAAAGTACATATTTCCCTATAAATTCCCTACATATACACAAGAGGTAAAAAGTAAAAGTTTAAAAAAACAAAAAAATTAAAAAACGGTCAACAGAAACCACAGCAGAAAAAGGATTAATAATTAAAAAAAAAAAAAAAATTCAGGAACCCACCCCACCCAGCCCCCCTCAAGCCTGCGCGCGGCTTACATACTAAAGGGTAACCAGTTGGCCCCAAAAAGGGAGCCGTCCTTCTGGAAGTTTCTGCAGAGGTTGAGGCCGTGGGAAAACAAACACTGTCAAATCGGTATCAGCTACGTACAAAAGGACAACTGGGAGAGTTGTAAAAATCGTGTTGTTTTTTTTTCCTTAAAAAGATCACCCTGGGGAGGGGGGGGGGGTGTCTTAAATAAAAAGTGCAAGCAGGCCTTTTCTCTCTGGTTTATTTTAACCTGTCGACTCAATACTGTCATTTGTTAAGAACTGAGGTGTCGCTGGGCCGCCGGGTCGCTGTCTCCACGCTTGGGACTGGAGTTAAAGCTCGTCTGTAAACACTGGCCAGCCCACCGCTCACCCCGCCCACCCCCTCCCCTTCCTCCCCACCCGGCCCTGGGCACCCACCCCGCGTCCGTGGACGGGCCCTGAGGGCCGCGGGCGCGGCGAGGTGACCGGCTAGGAAAAGATATGAATGGCCTGGGTGGCAGGTGTGCGGCAGGCTGGGCACTCGGGGTCGCTCTTGCCGCAGATGCGGACGGCGCAGTCCATGCAGAAGAGGTTGTGGCCGCAGGGCACCAGCGCGGCCATCACCTCACCCTCTGCACACACAACGCACTCCCGCGCCAGGGCCGTGGAGGCGGGGGCGTTGGGGGCCGGGGCCGCCTGGGGCTTGCGGCCACTCTCCGAGGCGCTCGAGTCCAGCGCGGAGCACGAGGAGGCCGAGGAGCTGCCGGGCAGCGAGGTGGCCGTGGAGAAGCTGGCGCTGCTCGAGAAGGATGCCAGGGAGCCCTGCGGGGGCCGCCAGGGCAGGGCGCCCACCGGGTCGGGCGCAGCGCGGCGGGCCAGCGGGAGCTCCAGGCTCAGGCCGCCGGGCTCGGGCAGCGTGGGCGAGTGTCGTGGTGTGCCAGCCCCGCTGCTGCGCCGGGCGCCCGGGGCGGGCGGCGCGGGGGCCCCGTTGACGGCGGCGCAGCCGCTGAAGGCGGGCAGGGGCGGGGCCCGCTCAAAGGGCGCCCAGATGGTGGCCGCGGTGGGCACGGTCAGGTCCAGCGCCAGGAAGTCGAAGCCGAAGTCGCAGTCCTCGGGGGCGGGTGGCCCCGCGGGGGCCCCCGGACCGTCCCCACCGAAGGTGAAGCCTCCGTTGCCCGAGGCGCCATAGGGGCTGGTGGGGTCCGCGTCCGGCACCGGCATGGTCGGCCCCCCTCGGCCGCCCGCATAGAAGGCCTCGGGGCCCCCCGGGGTGCCCAGAGCAGCGTCCCCCCGGAGGCTGGCCGTGGGCGCGGGGGGCCGGCGGCCCGGGTTGGGGGCCTTGGCCCAGAGGCCCGCGGCTGCCCCGAGCAGGTCCAGGCAGACGTCGGTGCCGTTGGAGTGGAAGTCGCTGTCGGGCCCGGTGTCAGTGAAGGCTCCCGTGCGCAGCGTGATGTGGGCCTCGATCTCCTCGCGCGCCCGGTCCACGTTCTCGGGCATGCCCGTCACAGCAAACACCGGCTCCTTGTCGCGCCCGGGCGTCACGATGTACGTGTGCGTCCGTTGCTGGATGCGCTTGATGGTGGCGCCCTTGGGGCCCACCACCAGCCCCACCACGCGGTAGGGCACGCGCACCTGGATGGTGGTCTGTCCCGGCAGGTTGGGCGGGCCCTGCGCGGTACCGGGCAGCCCGCCTGCCTTGCTGCGCGTGGCGCGGATCACGGAGAAGTGCTCGGCGGCCGACAGGATCTCACGCTTGGCCATCTCCACGTCCTCTTTGCGGCCGGTCACGATAAAGACCGGCTCCTCCCCACGCACCGGCGTCTTGATGTACGTGTTCGTCTTGGCGCGCAGAGCCTTGATCTTGCACCCTGTGGTGGGGGAGGGGGAGACACAGTGAGGGCAGGGACCCCTCCCCAGGACAGCCCCTCCTGGGCAGCAGCTGCAGGGGCCAGCCAGTGCGCTGGGTTAGGAGGCCCCACCTTCGGGCTGTGATCTCAGGCACTCGGCGTCCCTCCCTCCAACCTTGGGCGTCAGTGTCCACTCTGGTCCTGCAACCCCTGGCTCTGTAACAGGGGGATTGTCCCAAAGGCAAGGAGGGACCCTGTTTTAGGTTGAAAGGCGTCCCCCCAAATCCATGTCCACCTGGAATGTCAGAATGTGACCTTATTTGGAAATAACGTCTTTGCAAATGTAATTAGTTAGGGTGAGGGCATGCTGGATTAGGGCGGCCCTGAATCCAATGACCAGTGTCACTATAGAGGAGGGACATGTAAAGACACAAGAGAAGATGGCCATGTGAAGACGGAGCCCAGGGTTGGAGTGAGACAGACACAAGCCCAGGAACGCCAAGGCCTGTCAGTACCACCAGAAGCCTGGGGAGAGGCTGGAAGATTCTCCCCTGGAGGGAGCATGGTCCTGCCCACACCCTGATTTCCACCTTGCAGAACTGTGAGGGTTCATTTCTATAGTTTCAAGCCATCCAGTTCATTTTACCAGATGTAGGACACTAATGCAGACCCTCCAACACCAACTCCCTGACAGGAGGGGAAACTGAGGCTCGGATTGTGGAAATGGCCTTCGACTTCTTCCTGACCATGTGACCCTCCCCCAAGAGCAGATCCTGGGCCCCATATCAGGACGCCTCCAAAGGCCCTCAGTGGTCCCAGCCTCTGAGGGGAAGCTCGGGGACACGGCCTTGTGGCTTCATCTTTGCTGCCTGGGCTGGGCTGGGCTAGGGGGCTGACCCTGCGGAAGGGGGCCAGGGTGGCCGTTGGGGAGAGGGTCAGTCGAGCAGGTTCTTTGACTGGGTGCCTCTCCCACCACCTAGGCAGCCCTCCTGAGGTCGACTGGAAGCTGCCCCTGAGACATTTAAACACCAGGCGTGGCCGGCCCGGGGCCCTGATACCCACCCCCCCACCCAGGGGCCTTCTGACACATCTTGAGTCCGGACCCAGGAGTCTGGGAGGACCCCCCACCCCCAAGTTCTGGGGACGCCAGAGGGACACAGGGATATTGTTGCAGTGCAAACAGAGGGCGGCATTGAGGGGAATAACAGCGTGGCTAACTTCTCAGCGAGGGAAAATACAAAGTTAGCGGGACGAGCTGTCTGCCTGCAGCCAAGGAAGTCAGAGACACGGGGCCTGGGCGGGGGGCAGCCTCACCCCCAGCACAAAGAGGTGAGGAGGCAAAGAGGGCAGGAGCCCCCCATCCATGGCTGAATAAAAGGGAGCCAGCTGAGTGGGGGGTCTGAAATCTCCCAGGGAGACACTGCTTTCCTCCCATCTCCCGGCCTCGCGTCCTGGCCCCCAGCCATCCCCACTGCACCCGGCGTCCTCCCCGTCGGTGGCTGCTGACCTGGGCTGCCTCCACTCCTGCCTGGATGGTCTCCTCCCCACTTGGCTGGGGAGGCCCCTCCTGCAGTTCCCCTGCGCCTGACCTTTCCCATTTGTCACGTCATCCTCACTGCTGCACCCCACCGTCCTCTCCCTTCTCTGCATCACATCACAGCCCGGCACCCTCTCTTCCAGGAAACCCGCCCTGACTATGCTGGGCCAGGCCCCAGCACACACTTCTCAGAGTTTCTCCTCACACCCTAAGTCTGACTTTCTGGACTCCCCGAGGCTGGGGGACTGTGTTGCAAGGGCCGGCGGACTGGGATTGCCCTGGGCACTCAAGGGACCATCCCATGCCTCAGTTTCCTCACCTGCCAAAGGAGGGCACAAACACACCCAGCCTCACAGGTTTGGGGCAGGACCCGACCGGCCACAGACTGGAGAGTGGCCCCAGACCGGTGCCTGTCCTCATGGGGGAGCCTCGGTGGGGAAGGGACCCCTGGGCAGGTCAGGGCTGGGGAAGGACCCTGCAGCTTCCCGCCCCCCATCCTGCCCTGACCCAGAGAGCAGCCTTGGATGGAGGCCTCAGTGGCCAAGTAGAGCCCAATTAACCATCCAGACTTCAGCTGTGACATCCACTATCCCCCAAACCCCACCCACGCTAAGACCCTGAGAGGTGGCAGAGCTTGGGGGGGGCGGGGAGTGGAACTGCACAAGCCAGGAAATTGGGTTTCCAGGAGTGACCCTGGGGGCTACCGCCAACTGGTGGGTGCAGCAGAAATGCAGCTTCCCGGGCCCTGCCCCAGGATTCCAACTCAGATAACCGGGGAAGGTGGCTGACTGCCCCAGGTCCCAGCAGGCCCCACCCTGTGGCAGCCGAACCCTCCTCAAGAGTGGCAGGGCCAAGGGTCCCCACGGGGGGCCTAGATGCAGGCAGCCCTGCTTCCCATTGCTCGTGACCCTGTACTGGGGTCCAGGCACCCCTGCACTGGGCATTCAGGGAACCAGGCCACACGGGCTCTGCTCCAAAGGAGCCCACGTGGTGACCACAGGCCACACTTATCAAGGGAACCTCAAGGCCGTGTGCGGGGAGCTGAGGGGCCGCCCTGGGAAGGAGGCTGCGTGCCGGGGGAGCACCGCTGGCTAAGGGGACAGCAGGGACAGAGTTCCAGCAGGCCAGGGCTGGGACAAGTCAGCCCGATATACTGCCACTCCCAACACAGCAGGGTGCTGTCCCCAGGGCGAGGCTGAGTCACAGTACGATGTCTGGGGGCAAAGCTGGCTCACCTGTGAAACAGGGCCAGGGAAAGCCCCGTGCAGGCACGGAAGGGTGTGACCTGCCACCCGGGGGCCCCGTTCTTCCTACGCCCCCCAGTGGGTAGGTAAGAACGTCAAGGCAGGGGCCCCCGACAGGCCTGCAGTGTCCCACAGGGGTGGGGCCCCGCACAAGGGAGAGAACAGCGAGCGAGGGATGATGGAAGGGACCCTGGCTGGCTGGCAGGTCACTCGCTCCCGACCGTGAGCCGAGTGTGCTGCAGACCCAGGCCTGGCTCTGAAGACCCAACCCCGGCCACCCCACCCACGGCCATTCTGCCAACTGGGGCAAAGGCAGCAAGGCGGGGGGCGCAGGGGAGGGTCTCAGAAGGAACTGGGCGCCAGCCCCCTGACATTTGATGACCAGCTGGGGTGACAGGCTCTCCACCGGCCCTTCTGAGTTTCCACTTTTCCTGTTTGTGGAAGGGGGCCACCTCCCCACCACCCCCAACCCTGGAGCTTTGGAAGGTGGAAGGTTCTCTCCTGACTCACCCCTGCTCCCTGCAGGGCAGGAAGAGCCAGGAGACTAGGGTTCATATCTGGGCCCTGCCGACCAGCTCTGGCGGCACCTCCGCTCCTGCAGCCTCTCCCTCCCCGTCTGTGACCCGAGGCTGCAGGATCCTCTCTGGGGGACACCTCAGGGCAGGTTGAGGCTGCCTCTCAGTGGGTCCAGGGCACCTTCTGGGCCCCTCGGCCTCCGGGAGGAGAGAGCAACGCAGGGGCTATAATCTCCTGCCTGTGCTCAGAAGGTGCATGGACCCATTTCAGGGCTGAGAAAACCAAGGCTCACAGAGCAGCAAGGGGGTGTCCAGGAAAGGGCGAGCCCGGGTCTGTGGCTCTCGTCAGCACAGGAGGTCGGGCAGGTGAACCCCCTGGCCCTGCACTCCAGAGAAGGGGGTGGCTGTGGGCCTGGGGTCAGACAGAAAAGAATAAGTTCAGGGTAGGCCGTGCCGCCTGTCCTAGGGACAGCAGGGGACAGGTTCCATGTCCAGGGACCCACAGGGTGGACAGCGGAGTGGGTAACCGGAGGAAGAGCACAGAGTCCTCCAGGCTGTGCTTGAGAACTGGTGGCAGAAGCTGGGAGCCACAGATGCTTCTAGAGTGGGGAGACACAAGGGCTGCTGCAGTTGCCAACCTGTCCTGGCATTCGTATTCCCCTCCCTGGTGCCCTGCACCCCACTCATGGGGTGGCTACAGTGTGCCGGCCCGGTGCTGGGATAAGAACCAGCATCTGGCTTGAGAATCCTCACGACAAGGGAGCTGCTCTCCCCCCTGTCACAGAGAGGGGCTCTTGTGCTCAGAGTCACAGGGCCACCCTAGTCTGCAGGGAGAGCTGTCGGGGCCCAGGGACCCCCAGAGCCTGCCTTGCTGTCTGCCATCCGCAGGAACCCAGGCTGATACCCTGGGTACCAGCGGGTACCAGAGGGACACGCGGTACCAGTGGTCAGTGTGGAGCCTGGCGACCCAGCCACCAGACTGCTCAGCATGTAGGCCAGGGATCGGTGCCCCCTGCTTGCGGCCCGCACCCCCGGGGGGCTGACACGTGCATTCACATGGGACTTGTCCTCAGGCTCCACCACCAGGTGGATCAGTCTCATGACCTCGGGTGACAGCCCCCAGCCTCAGTCTCCACAGGCTCCTGGACACTCAGCTGGGAAGCAGCTGTCTTGTTACAGGTCCCAGTGAGGTTACTGGGGACAGGGGTGGCAGGAGGTGATGTCCTGAATAGGAAGGAGGCAACTGGGTGGCAGAGGGGAAACGTCCGGTCGTGGTCTCGTGGTGCCTGCCGGTAGCCGCAGGGCCCAGAGAACGGTTTACGGGTCCCCCTCCCCCCGGCTCCCATTCCTAACAGCGGGTCCCCGGTCCCAGCACCACGCCTGGTCCTCCTTGTGTCCACACATGGGGAGGACAAATGAATGACTGAACGTACCTGCGCCCGAAGCCAGAGGGCTTGCTACCCCCTGGCCCCACCCACCCAGAACTAGTAGAGAGCAGTGTCCAGGGCATCCCTGCGGTCCTCTGCTCGTAGCACTTAGGGCGACAGGTCACCTTGAGACTCAAGCCCCTCAACACCCTTCTCTAGCTCCTGTTACCGAGGGTCCAGAGGCAGGGACCCCTAGCCCCACCTCAAGCCCCGCCCAGGCCCCACCCCAAGTTCTAGAACCTGGCTGAGCAGCAGGGAGCCCGGAGGTGCGGGCAGGAAGGCAAGAAAGTTGAGGCTGGTGGGCAGGCAGCTAACAGGGTGGGTGGGTGTGTGCTGGGCCGGGCACTGCCCACCACCCTCCAGCCCGCCCGCCCCGCAGCTCCAGGGCCAATGAGCGGCCGCCGGCCTGATGTCACCCTGCAAATCTCAGCCTGGCTCTCTAACAAAGAGAACAATGGGGCAGCCACAGGGACACTCCGACAATGCCGCTCCGGGACCCGCACACCCTGGGTCTGTTGCTGGCCACCTGGCCAGGGGAGGGCTGTGGGGCAGGACCCCAAAAGTGGCTTTTACAGGGGGGGTCCTTGTGCATCCCCCAAATCCCTGACTGGGGGCGGAGAGCCCGGTAGGGATCCTCTCTCATCCTGTCCTGCTCCCCTTCCCCAGCAGGGTGCCCAGGCCGGCAAGTCTCGATGCACCCTCTCTGTGCCGCCAAACTTATCTCGACACTGCCGGAGCGCCCGCGCCCCCAGCCCCAGCGACCCCCCAAACCCGAGCGAACCCGCCCCGTGCCAGTTTTGGGTGTGGAGCGGGCACTGCCCAGCCCGACCCCTTTATCCTCGGGATGCCACCGCTAGCGGCCCAGGGTCCGGGCAGTGAGCTGCACGCAGGGGCCTTTCCCGGCTGCAGGCGCCCAGACAAAGGCGGCAGCGGGGCCGGAGCGCCGAGGGGAGGAGCACGGGCTGCGCCCAACTTTCTCCCGCGGCCAGCGGCAGGACAAAGGCACACAGGCGGCCACCGAGGCCCGAGCCCACGCGGGGCGTGGCCGGGGTCTGGTGTCCAGCCGCGGGCTGGGCTGGGTGGCCCCTCCTGGGGCGAGCCGCGAGGGGACCCCCGGGGAGGCGCCCCCGACGGCGGCCACTCACCCTGGCGACCCACGATCTCGGCGACGTGCTCGGAGCTGGGCACGGGCACGCACTCGGTCATGTTCACGCTCTTCTTGCGGCTGCCGATCACGCTCATCTGCTCGGCCAGCAGCGTCGGGGGACCCAGGGCCGCGGGGTGGGGCGCGAAGCCCGCGAACACGTCGGGCGGCGATGGCCGAGGCGGCGGCGGGGGGCTCACGTCGGGCTCCAGCAGCGGCAGCGGGCCGGGGGCCACGGCCACCCCGGGCGCGCCCGCCTCGGGCCCGTCGGGGGG